TTTTGTTCCCAACTATTTATAGGTGTATACTATTCATTAAAAATTGTGATATTTATAAGTTTTGTTTACGTCACTCAATTCTCCAAGTGATTTAATAATTTTATGTCCTATTAATTTCTGATTGACTTTATAAATCGCGACATTGGAATTTTATAAATACATACCATAATTCATGTTACCAGGATTTTAAAAGCGAATGCTGTTGACGATGGTTAACCCTCTACCGCCTAACATGAGTAACTGAACAATATTGTCACGCGCCTACTTCCCGCAGAGGATAGGTTCTAGTGAGCCCAAAATGACTTGCACTGATGGTTGCCGCCACGAACAACTTTAAAATGTTCTCTGTTGCGTACAAACGTACTCAGGTTACTACACTAAATCGTTAACGTATAATATAAGTTGAAAGTTATCTTCCCGGAGAGTGACATACGGCGGTAGGGGGTTAATGTAAGCACAGAGTTTGATATTCAGCGGAAAATTTTGCCGAGATGATGTTCTAACTGTTATTTCTTTCAAGTTATAATACATTCACGTTGTGAAACTTTTTTTTAAGAAGATTGTTACCCTGTAATGGAATTTCTGATGAACTATTCTATTGTTTAATTTTTAATTTATTTAATTTTCTCCATTAATGAATTGTGAAATAGGGGTGATGGCATGCGAAATATGGGTGTTGCATGTGAAATAGGGGTGTTGATATGCGAAATAGGGGTGTTGGCATGTGAAATAGGGGTGTTGGCATGTGAAATAGGGGTGTTGGCATGCGAAATAGGGGTGTTGGCATGTGAAATAGGGGTATTGGCATGCGAAATAGGGATGTTGGCATGCGAAATAGGGGTGAAGGCATGCAAAATAGGGGTGTTGGCATGCGAAATAGGGGTGTTGATATGCGAAATATGGGTGTTGGAATGCGAAGTAGGGGTGTTGGTATGCGAAATAGGGGTGTTGGCATGTGAAATAGGGGTGTTGGCATGCGAAATAGGGGTGTTGGTGTGCGAAATAGGGATGTTGGTATGCGAAATAGGGGTGTTGGCTTGCGATATAGGGGTGTTGGCATGCGAAATATGGCTGTAATAAATAATTATGCTATATATATATGTATATATATCAATTATATTAATCGTTATATTAATAGAATGATTACTGTAATAAATTACAGTAATTACTCCAATTACTCCTTAGTACTAGGATTACTCCAACCTCAAGGCTTCGAACGCTCTGAGGCTGTGATTTATGGCAAATTATGAAAACCAAATATTATTGAGCGTGACTTTGTGCGTTACATTGTCGCATAGGAACTTAATAACAGCTTAATTAGTTTAAATGACGTCAGAACCTCGCAGTCATCACAATATTCTCTTGACATCTGCACGGAAATTCCTGCCAGCTGTTTTGTTCATCCGTATGGTTAAAGCTCCCATGGGTCGACTTCTTTCCGTTCAAACGCCGTGTCAACCCTAATCGCGTCGGGTGCAAGCAACACGCTGTTGACATGTTTGTAAGACTTTGTTCAATGAATTATTCATATATTTTTCATCCAGCACGCACCGCTATGTTTTTGCTTGGTATTCATATAGATTGTTTTATAAAATCTGTTTCTAAATGCGCAATTTATGACTCGAAACGTTTCTAATAAATAATGGATTAAACTCTTATGTTGCCACAATTACACAACACTACCCTACTCAATGACCGACTAAAGCGACAGCGGCTGGCGGAGGTGCGAGTTGTCCCAATAATCGGAGCGCTGCTAAGCTGTGGCCGCGGGAGCTCTCTCATTCCTATCTTAATTTTCGTGACGAATATTTAACTAACGATTGAGACGCGAGCCACTTAGGCTTTGCTTAGGCTTGATCGTTATAATTGCTCTGAGTAATAAAAATATGAGCAGGGTTATCGAGCGTAGCAATGGTCAGCGCGAGAGAAGTAGTTGGTAAATGGAAAGGAAGGATTGCAGATTGGCGTGCTGAGGCGAATGTAAAGTAGCAAAGATGCGAAACTAAGGCATGACCACAGCTGATGTGCGGGCTGATGACACCTCACAGGTCTCGTCTGCATGACAATAATACAGAAATGGCAGTATTAAAAAACCGTATCAAAAATATAACGAATATGGTGGTATCCAAGATACCTGTCTTAAAGATACTGGCAACATGGAGTTCTCAAAGGCGTTTTGACTGGCACGGGACGAATTCCTTCAGAACCACCTTGAACTCTGATCATAGTTCAATGAAGTGTGCTGATAACAATTCCAACATCCAGTGGTTTGTAAATTGATAGCTGGAGACTTATCCTTAATGATGAGGGCTTCAGCTATCACCAGTCTTGTAGCGTCGGGGCACCGCATGACGATGCTGGTGCAGGCGTTGGAGCATCGCAGACGATGCAGGTGCAAACTTGAGGCATCGTATGGACAGAATGAACCGAACAGGTAATACTGTCCCCTTTACTAGTTGTACTCCATAAAATTAACATTCAAATGACTTGTTCAGTAAATTTGGAATTCGTCGGCAATAAAATTTCACATAAAAGATGGTTTCAATGTGCTCAACTCGCAGCAGCAAAGTGGTTCCTCTGGTCAATGAAACGACAGATGACATTCAGTGAGTCTGTTTACACAGTGTCTTCCATTTACAAATTGAGTTCTGAAGAACATCTAAAATGATTAGCCTCAAAGTGTCGAGTTAAGCTTACTTTCCTGGCGCAAGCATATTTGCACTTGGAGCAGTGGTGAGTTTACTCAAATGTATGTTTTTGAAGAATATGATTTTTTAGCTGCCTCTTAGAAGCATAAGAATGTTCGCATTCTGGGCAGCCAAGAGGTTTTTTAGATGAATGCTTATAAAGAACATGACTCTTCAGATGGCTCTTAGTCACACAAGAATATTCACACTCTGAGCAGCTAAGAGGTTTTTTAGATGAATGCTTATAAAGAACATGAAGAACATGCCTCTTCAGTTGGCTCTTAGTCACACAAGAATATTCACACTCTGAACAGCTAAGAGGTTTTTTAGATGAATGCTTATGAAGAACATGACTCTTCAGATGGCTCTTAGTGTCACAAGAATATTCACACTCTGAACAGCTAAGAGGTTTTTTAGATGAATGCTTATGAAGAACATGACTCTCCAGACGGCTCTTCCACACACAAGAATATTCACATTCTGAGCAGCTAAAACGTTTCACCGTTGAATGCTTAAAAAGAACATGTCTCTTCATGCTGCTCTTTCTCAGACAAGAATATTCGCATTCTGTGCAGTGATGTGGTTTCTTAGATAAATGATGGTAAATAATGTCGTTGGCAGGATTTCGTTCCATGAAACAAACGCATTGTGGCCCCGAACAACGATGCGTATTTTCTCGCTTATGTTTAGCAGAAATGTGTTTCAGAAGTTGAAGCTCTGAACCGCAGGAATATTCACAGTCAGAGCATGAGTACAGATGTGAGGATGCCTGCTCATCTGTATGGCGCTGCTGCATTTGGCAGGTAACCTTGGCATCAACAAAACCCCGCTGGGAATACGGGAGCCTCTCGCTGCGTTGCTGGGAGCTGGACGCTTCAGAGACGCCGCCGCTGCCACCAGCGTCTTCTGGATCTCCTGTAGGTGCGGACTGCCTCCTACCCACGTTCTGAGGGCGCATTGGTACCAAGGATTTGTTAGAGGAAATAAATCCAAATGAATCAAAATTTGATTGGCGCTTACGTACAACTTTGACCAAAATCTACACGAATCTTAGCTTAAATTATTCAAAAAATCATGGTATATAATGCATTTAGTAATTTTTGCTTTGTTTTTATGTATTCATACTGTTTTAGGCTAAATTGGACATTTTATGCGTCAAAAAGGATTATTTGATAAGCACGTCATGCTTGGATTGCTTATTCTTTTTAATGTTGAACTGTCACTTATAAGAACAAAGAAGAGCTTGATGGCGTTTCAGAGAGAAGGAGATGATGAAGAAACGAAGCACTCGGCGCTCGCCATCACAGAATCTTACAATGAGCTGATACAATGCGGCTCTATAAGTTTCCAAATTCTGTGTGAAGCTTTTGCACCAGATGGTACATCTCCATGATTGGCTTATACACCTTACTTTTAACCAACATCTCAGTGTATGCAGACTTTACTGGTAAAGTGAAATTGGACAATAACTTTAAACAAACAATAAGTAACAGCAGGTCACAATGAAGTAGATTACGAGGTAGTATGATAATAGCAATTATTTTATAGTTAAATTAGCATATGAATATATCCATTAAATAGAACTTGAATGCCTGATGATAAGTGATTGAAAAAATCAAACAAGCTTATGAGGCTTTTATGTAAACCATCAAGTGATACATTAGTTTAAATTCTCAATCGTCTTAACACACAACCACCCACCACATGTCCAGGCATGGTAGAGGAGAGCGAGGCAGGACGGTGGGCTACATGTGCTTCACGAGCCTCAATTTGAGCTTCCATCTTGTCCGGCCAACAGGATGCGGGAGGTGGAGCTAGCTCATCAATATCAATAGGCTCATCCTTCACAGATATGTCCTCTTCCTCATATAGAGGCTCAATTTTGATGTTAGCTGCAACGACTTTAGGGCTCAGAGATGAGCCACAGGCCGCTGTTGTGGGATAGAATTGGTATAAAATTACATGAAGGCAAAACTGGTACCAAAATCCATAGACACATTGACGAAATCCACACAGTAATTCATTGTATGCACATAATTGTGAGCAATGCAGTCTTGTTAATATAAAGGGAAAGTCTTATATATATGTTAACCCACAGAATATAATTTTCATCTTCATAATCATACCTCAAGTAATTGGTGCGTTTTATTTCAATTGATCCTTTTTGCTGTTGATGTGATAAGGACTTTAAAAATTAGGGACTCCCATGTAAGTATAATTTTTTCACGAATTTAGAAATATGAAAATACACAACAATACTTCAGGTATTTTTTTATACCACTCAAAAATCTTTTTCTGGGAAATTCTGTGTCACTATATTTTCGTTTGTTTGTGGTAAATACCTGATGGGGGAGGTGGAGCTAGCTGGCCACCACACCCAGGGCTGGGAGGCTCACGTGAACCAGCCTGACACAACATGTGGTCACGTCAGTCATGTATACTTTGATAATATCCTAATGAAGGCAAATTAGTTGCGGTGGATTTTGAGCTAATAATTCAAAATTGACCTCAAAGATAAAGTGTTAAGTGTATAATATTACCTCAAACACTGGCATTTGCAATGAAACATTCGAATAGAATTTCGATTCAGTCATTCATCATCAAATGGTTCCCCTAAAGAACCTAGATTTAAATGAAATATAAATGAATTGTATACAGCATGCATGGGAATCATTACACCTAACAGGGCTCAGGGAGCAGATGCGTGTCATTACGAAGTTCACTGCCAGAGACATAATCATACAAATTTTATTAGAATGCAGAATTGTGATCAAAAACCATAAACTCAGTTATTTACATAATAGCATTTAATTGAGCACAGAAAATCATGTTGGATCCCAATGTCCGTTATAAAACTTGATGGGCACCAAGCCCCACCAACCTGTTTCTCAGGCACAGCAGCAGCGTCCTGTGAGGAACGTTGGTGGGCGTCCCGAGCCTCAACTTGAGCTTCCTCCTTGCATGGCACACAAGATGAGGAAGGTGGAGTTTGCTGGCCAAATGAAACAATCATGAACAGATACTTCATTGACTGATTGGTATGAGGACTAAATTATAAATATATGAGAATATTATCCATGCATTTAAGTAGGCTTTTTGCAAAGATAATATAAGTATATTATGTTGTATGAGATTCACTGCAGCCCTAGAACATAATTTTTAATCAATGCATTTCCTTTTCTTAGGGACTTTCAGTAACAAATATCACAAAAAATAGGAGCCCAGTTCTTCAAGCACAGGATTTCCATTGAAGTTAAAATAAACCCCATGAAGGAAAATATTAATGTCAAAATTGGAATGATCATCAATGAAAAGATATAGAGTAATAACTTTACCTGATTTTCATCAATATCAATAGGCTCATCCTTCACAGATATGTCCTCCTCATATAGAGGCTCAAGCTTGATGTTAACTGCAACGACTTCAGGGCTCAGAGATGAGCCACTGGCCGCTGTTGCTGGATAGAATTGATATGAAATTACATGATGGCAAAACTAGTACCAAAAGATATAAACACATTAACAAAATAAAAAGAGTAATTCTTTGTATGCACATAATTGGGAGCAACACAGTCTCTGTTAATATAAATGGAAAGTCATATATAAGTGATAATCCACAGTATATTATTTACAGCTACAAAATACTACCTCGGATAATTGATTCATTGCTAAATTTACAACTTACCATCAGACTTAATTTTGCCAACACTAGAAGGCCTTAGCAGGAGGTTCAGCCCAGACCACCAGCCCCTCTCAACTGCATCATCAGAGAGTTTGTGCAGCACAACACGACATTTTTTCACATCATCCATTCTGATATCCATTAGAATCTACTGGCTCCAAGTTGAAGAAGCTCTTAAAATTAAACAACAATAGGCAAAATTGACAAGCAAAAGTACTTACTGCACATACTGCACACAAATAAAAATACAGTGACATCACATGAAAAAATTTTTGGTATAAAAGAAGACCTGACTATTGCTAGCGGGACCTCGGAGTTTTGTTGTGCACTTTACTATTTCCATAATAGGAAAAAAGTAGATTTATTTGGAAGTCCCTAATTTGAAAAAATCCCTGTCACATCAACTGCAAATAAAATATCAATTCACTACATATGTGGCTTGGAAAAATTTTAAATAACAAGCATTGCCAAACAAGCATTGCCAAACCATTGTCTATACGGCTTGTAAATGGCATTATTGGTGTGTGTGTATCTAATAGGTGTGACAAACATATTGAATACTTTAGGTCTTTAGGTGGGCAACAACCTATAAGATTTCCCATTTATTACTGTCAATATAAATGGTGTGCAGGATACAGTTCTTTTCAATAGTTAAAGGTTAAAAAGTTAAAGGTTAAAGGTAAGCAAGGAGTATTGTGCATGAGTGAACAGAGAATGTGTTAACTCTAAGGAGCACAAAAATTAAGGATAACGGTGTTCATGTATACATTCTTGGAGCCTGAGTTATTAAGGGCATGTGTTAAAAATAAAAAGGAGTGTAAGAATACCAGACAAAGAGTTTATATTGGGAACATTGACAAGATGCATATGGGATATGTCATGAAGGAAAGAAAAATTATTAGTTATAAGCTATAACTTGCCTAAATAAAAAACTGCTTGGGCCTTGGGCATGTGGCCATGACTTCAAAAAATGGATTTCAAAGTAATGCAAGCATTAGATTATCAAGCAAAACGAAAAACAGAGCAATAGTCAAGAACCTCGTTTGTGACACCTTAAAGGCACTATATAATGGATACAGATGTTATAGGATGCACTCTGGATGATATTATTGGTGACTTAATGTGACTGAGAATGTTTGCTGCATCAGGGTTTTCAAACCAGTGATTTGACTGATGGTCTCTACTTCCCCTACAGCCATCCTGAACAACCACTTTGTAAATCTTTTGTGTTTTTTGCAAATTTTATTCATTTACTCAACCCTCTAACGCCCTGTGTCACTCTCCGGGAACATACAAGTATACGTAAATTATTGAGTGTTGCAACCCGAGGATGTTTGTACTCAATAAGTAAGATTTCAAAGTTCAAGTATGTGGCGGCAACCATCAGTGCAAGTCATTTTGCACTCACTAGAAAGTATCCTTTTTGGGAGGGCTTGTGTGACAATATTACTCCGGTTACTCATGTCAGAAGGTAGAGGGTTAAGTGAGGAATAATTACAATTTACTAAAGTAACAGCATGTACAAATGGAGAACAGAGACCAGGAGCAAAACCAAAGCACGGGAGTCTAACATTACCTTTAGTTATTCATTCAATATTTTCCTGTTTCATCCCACTCTGGAAAAGTCACACATTTAAAAGAAAAAATTTTGTAAATTTTCAAAATTATTTATTCTGTCAACTGATTCATGCTTTGTCTCTGACTTTATGCAATTGTGCAAAATTTAAGATCGATTGGACAGGTCAAATTGTGTCATATATGGATTATAAGATTTGTAGCAGATGAAATTATTTTTACATTTTTTTAATAATGAAAAAAAATTTCTAATTTATAAAATAATTTATTTTGTCAATTGATTCATGCATCATCTCTAACTTTACGCATGTGTGCAAAATTTCAGAACTATTGGACAGGTAGAAGTGTATCAAATATTGATAATAAGATTTGTAGCAGACAAAATTATTTTTAATTTTTTCAATAATGAAAAAATTTTGCAATTGTTAAAATAATTTATTCTGTCAATTGATTCGTGCATTGTATCCAACTTCATGCAAGTGTGCCAAATTTCAGATCGATTGGACAGGCAGAAATGTGTTAAATATCGATTATAAGATTTGTAGCAGACAGACAGACAAACAAGAAGTGAAAATAAAGAGATGTGTTGTAAAAATAGATTGTAAAAAACATACCTGAAACAGAAATGAATATTTTAGAGACAACCATTATAATTTTCAGAGAAATAAATCATTGTTTAATTTAATTACTTTTCATCCTATGCTGAACGGTGCATAATTCTATCTATTACAATCTTTGAACAATTTTGTGATGAATGATGATGCATTAATTGTTCGTTAGGCAAAATGTTTTTGCTGAGTGAGGTAAATGTTATCAAAATTCTTGGTTATTTCTTGACTTTTTTGCAAACTGTAGCCTTTGCTAATTGAGGTTCTACTGTATATGTATTTTTAAGTGTGTCCCTTATTACCCTGGAGGGGACCCTTAATAAAACATCTTGCGGAAATGGCCGCCATTTCTTGGGAGGGATGAGCTACGCTAATCTCATAAATCTTGTTTTAGAGCCAACATCTGTGTGCAACTTTTATGAGAGTAAAATTTTTTAATATGGCAAATATTTTTTTTGCTACAGACCTCAGCAGATGTACTTTTCCAAAATCTCACTTTTCACACTTTTTTTCATAGATTTTTTAGAGGTAGTAAATGTATGATTTCTTTGCTTGCTTTATGCTAGATAGATAGTAAAAATAATTCAACTTAGCCACTATTTTTAGTTTTGCTATATTTTTATTAGTTTTGCTGCTAAACATTTGTGCAAAATGTGGGACGACTGTCCCGATTTACCCCGCCCGTCCCTTATTAACCCGTTTGACTGTATTGCTGAGAGGCATTATTGCGGTTTTTCAATGCAAGGCTATAACTAATTTGCTGCCAAGATAGCAGTTTTGTTCCAAGTTCCACTCAGGAATACTGATTGACAATTGAAGCTTTTTCTGACATTTAACTGTGATCCAGTTATTTATTAATTTTCACAGCTTAATTCATCATTGGTTTACTTGCCTTTATTACTTTATTAAAACTAATATCGATTAGATGAGTTTACCTTCCCAAAGTTTATACTGATGAATATGTGGTACTTGTCTTAATGACCGCACTACATGTATCTTCATTGTGTCAATCGTAATCTTGATGTTTTCATGTGTAATCCATTATAATTTTTTATTACAAGTTTCCACACATCTTTGCTGCTAGATTAAATTATCAGTAACTAATTTTCATGATTGTAAGGATGTAAAATTAGGGACATAAAACGAGTTCTAGAAGTCGCTGAATGCAAGGCAACAACAGTAGGGAAAGACTACGGCATGTCAGTTTGAAGCCAGTAGTCATACTGTTAGCAACCCATGTAACAGCATTGTCAACTTGCTGTAGCGCATCTTAGTGACTTTAGTATAGCTGAAAAGAACTGCCTTTATTGGGTCGCTGAGCTGAGGAGTCAGTAAGCTTCGGGACTGTGGAGAGCGGGACGTAGACACAGTTGAAAGTTGAGTTTGAAGATCATGTCTGGGGTGCCTGATCTCGTATTGATATGGTATGCCGCTTACCATAATTTGTATCTATAATGCCAAGTGAATGTATTTAGGGTGTTCTTCTGATGAATGTACTTTTGTTTTAATGTTTAACTGTTCCGTTTAGTCCTGTTTGGATTAATGCTTGTTGATTAATAGGAGTGTTTTAAGGAGAGTACCTACCTCACAATTGTTAGAAATGAACCCAAGGAAGCAACCAGCTTCATCACAATGATTATGATGATAGTACATTGTCTCAGTTTTAGAATGAATCTTCAAGCTAACTTTAATTTTGGCATGATAGATTATACTCCAAGCTTTGCATTCAAGTTTAATAATGTTATTAGCAGCATCATTCATTCTCATTTATATTTCTATCAGCAATTATTACGCACCATTGCCCATCCTGTGCTCTCTATACCAAATTATTCAACACAATATCTAAACCAATAAATTCATCATCCACCACCTAAAACATAACCTCTATCTAGGTGCACTCATTGGCTTGTCACGTCTTTACAAGTATGACTAAACTTTATAAACAAAGCATCGCTTTTATTCACACTATTATTAGACTAATATAGCATCCACTCCTATTTTAAAGTGCATTATGTGTTAATCCTCCCCGTAATTAACATGGGAACATCACAATCCATGTACGCCAAGTTTCTAATGCTGGTACAATTATCAACAATACGAATTGAAGGTTACTTTTATATTATTTGTCTAAATTTTATCATTTTATTTATATTACATCAATTTCTTTACTTCCATTTCAGGACAAAGGAGAAAAATATAAATTATGTAAATTTACATATTTGAAAAAACAGTACAGAAGGAAACAATCATGAAAGCCAAAATGTTTAGCTACAGAAGCAATGCCACTCCCCTACAACAGCATGACTGGTAATAGTTTAGAGATCAAGAAATAGTTTCATCCATTTAGTTACGAATCAAAGTTTCATCAAGCTAATTAATGACAAATCGTGAATACCATTCAGATGATCCATCAGAATCAACAAGCAAATTAGAGCGAGAGCTTTTAGCAAATACAAAGCCTATTGCTTGATAGTGAAGTCTTATTAAAAAAATTAAACTGGTTTATAATGAATGGAATCATGCAATTAGTTGGATTATTGGCAATTTGAGCTGACTCAAAATCATACAGTGAATTTGGACAAGGTTATAAAAATGCCACCACCCATTGCATATTCTTCAATAAGATCAAAGATATTTTCTTAATATTAGGGGGCTGAGGTTACTAATGACATTTTTGCCATAAATCTAATTGGTGTATGTCTTTTAATAATTTTTATTTCAATTTCAATTAGATAACAAATCCTCATTGTACCAGGCTTGAGGAAGCAAAAAGAAATAATTACAAGTAACAATTGGTTATATTCTATTGCAGTAACCATCATAAATGACAATAGCATCCCTAGAATAGCATAGTATAGTAGCATCAGTGCTGAAGAATAGCCCTAGGCAGATTAGGCCTGTTGCCAATTCTTGTACTTATTGTGACTTGTCCACAGATCTAAGAAAATATAGCTCATTACTCACTGCAGTGAGTGACAGCGCACATTTTCTTGTGCGTGAAGTCATGGACAAATGGACGGATGGACTTGACAAGCACAATA